AGACGGAACATGAAATAAGCATGAATAAATGGACATAAACCAATGCCCTTGGACAATTGCAAGCTGGACAAACCGCCCAGCAAGTAGCCAATGCATTTCAAGTCCACGTAAGGATCATATACAGGCTCCAGCAACGGTACCAGACCACCAACACCACAGATGACCGACCACGTAGTGAAAGACCAGAGTCACCACCTGACCTCAGGATCTTCAGATTGTCCGACAGCATCCTCAAGATCGCTTTGTTACTGCTGCGGAAACTGCTCGACAGACCATTGGGACACCAGCGACACATTAGTGCGGACAGCGAGCGTCGACGATTGACGCGCAGGCACATCCACTATTCCAGCAAAGTCAGGATGAGGGACAGCCGAAATCGACTTCACCACTGCCGTCTTCATCACATTAATCGCACGAGCTATATTGCAATATTAAGTTGATGGAGGTTACTCATACTATATTAATAGCTCAAGCTGATCAATAATACATAACAAGCTGTATTAAAAACTGTACTTATTGCGAGTCACATGTTAATTCCTGAGCAACAAAATAACTGCATTTATTATTTAACTAAAGCATTTATCTATGACATTAGCATATGAAATAAAACCATGTATGTCATACCTTATTGACATAAGAATGCAAATTCGATATGTAAATTAGATAACCGGAAGTGGGACTTTTTTCGCCGGTGCACGCGAGTAGGTGTTTACAAACAACATGGATACCTTTGATGTTGGAGACAATGTTTTAATAGATCAAAGGGGAAGTGCTACAGTGATATCCATGTTGACAAACGGATATTACCGGTTGATGGTACCGAATTTGAATTTGACTGTGATGAAGGTCTGTGCTGACGCCCGGGAAGGTCACAAGAAATATTGATGCCATTACCAAAGTCTTGAGGAAGCGCTTAGACATCATTTTCTTTGGATGTATACTTTTCACATGAATGGTTTTTATATGAAACATTTATTATTTTTATAAAGTTCTATATTTACAGTTATACTGTTTTTGTAAACATAGAATACCAGAGAACTAATGCCTCTATAATTACTTCCCAGTTCTGAAAATTGCTGCTCAGTGCGATCTGCGTCCGCTCGAAGAGCAGTTGCTCGCGGCTAACCTGGACATCACTGTGAACAAAACCCTCATTGCAATTCCCACCTCCAATGAGTCTGACTGGAGACTTCATTTACATGGGGGATGTCACATTCCCAATGGAAGGTACGAGGGGCGATTGATAAGTTGTGAGCCTACCTCTGAAGGAGTGTGGTAAGGATGAATTCCTTTGTGGTGGTGATAGACTGATCAAGTACAGTGACATACACAGGAGGATTGTTGTATTGGACACATTATTTAGTTTAGTATAAGCTATTGACTGCAAGGGGGGTTATGAGATGACTTAAAATGGAGAAGCAGGAAACGCGAGCTGTTATTAATTACCTTTACAAGAAAGTCTTAACACCCAATGCCATATATGAGGATATGTTATCCACACTAGGGGAAGATGCCCCTCATATGCAACAGTGAAAGATGGGTGGCAGAGTTTAAACGTGGGCGATGGAGCACTGATGATGAACCCCGTCCTGGTCCACCTGTTGTGTCGTCAACACCTGAAATGGTACAGCGAATCATGGGCATAGTCATGGACGACCGACGAGTGACACAGCGACAGATAGACAACTTAGTGGACATCTCTCAGGAGCGAGTGCATTTCATTCTGACAGATATTCTAGGAATGCACAAGGTTTCTGCTCGATGGGTCCCCAAACTGTTGACAGCTGATCAGAAACGTCAAAGAGAGAATCTCTCAGGGGAGAACCTCAAGCTTTTTGAAGGTGATCCAGATAACTTTCTCAAACGATTTGTTACAATGGACGAAACATGGGTCCACCACTTTGAACCTGAATCAAAACAACTGTCTAAACAGTGGAAACATGTCACATCTCCTACTCCAAAGAAAGCAAAGTCTGTGCCTTTAGCTGTGAAAGTCATGGCATCCGTGTTTTGGGATTCTGAAGGTTTGATCATGGTGGACTGGCTTCCTAAAGGCCGTACTGTTACAGGGGCTTACTATGTGGAACTTCTGAGACATTTAAGAGTGAAAATCAAAGTTACGCGACGTGGAAAGTTGACGAAAGGTGTGCTTTATCATCACGACAATGCTCCAGCACACACATCACTGATAGCAATGGCCAAAATCCTTGAATGTGGCTTTGAACTTCTCCAACATCCACCTTATTCACCTGATTTTGTTCCGTCGGACTATCATCTGTTCCCACAGTTGAAGAGGCATTTAGCTGGAACTCATTTCCAGTCAGATGATGACGTCATTACAGCGGTCAACAACTTTTTGAGTGACCAAGAAGTTGACTTCTACAAAAGTGGCATAATGGCATTGCAACATCGCTGGCAGAAGTGTGTTGACCTTAAAGTGGTCTATGTCGAAAAATAAAAAAAGCTTTGGTATCAAACTAACTTTGTTTTCTTTGTTTGTTAGGCTTAGAACTTATCAATTGCCCCTCGTAAAACCAACGTTGGGGTCCACTTTATGAGATTTTATGAGATCGCACTGTTATGATTCTAAGTAACAATTAATGTTGTACAGGGTATTCTTTAAATAAAATGTCACTTTTTATACATTTTATTGTCATTATATGTATTCGTACTTGTATCATTCACATCTAACTTGTGAGGAATACAAGAAGGAAATCGTGGACAATTTAGAGGACAGCCTTAAGTACAGACTGGACAATCACCAGAATCTCATGTACAAAGTTCTCGGAGAGTTTCCTGTTGAGGTAAGTAACTGTCATTGCGGTCTCGATAAAGACCCTGATTGTCTCAGACCGAAGTCTGGATCGTTGCTCATGCTTTCAGTCAGTGATTTGCCTGGTCAACGCTCGATTTCCTACAAGCCAGACCAATTTATAGACGGAAAATTGCATAAAACAACACCCATTCACTCACTTCAGTGAACCCATGTAGAATTCTCAATAAGCCCATTTTCCAGGCTGATGGTTTACGAAATATGGACAACAACTCAGTGTCCAGTATTTAAGTTGTGCCTTTTGAATGAACATATTAACTTAAATCAATTCAGGCCCTATTAACGAAAACACATTGTAACCACGTCGTCGTTTCTAAAAAGTGAAGACATATTGATTATGATTGGGGTTTTTCTTCTAGATGATGTACTTTGAGGCACCGAAACCAGAGGAGTCTGATATGGCTATCTGGCACTTTAACCGCAAGAAACTGATGTACACGGCAAAGGTGACCCTGATACAGTACCTCGACGCCTACATTGAAAGCTGTCAGTAACATGTTGTACTGTTTGCAATAAAGAAGTCATTGTCAGACAGAAACAACTTGTCCTAAATGTAAATTAAAGGGGTGGCGTTACCAGTGTGCCGTCATTGTTGGGTTAATAGTTATCGGTGATGGCGAAAGCTTTTCTCCTACTGGATACATTTTGTCAACGTCCACAATCTTCAACAATCTTCCAACGAAGAAATAGGGTTTATTTTCTCAATATGCTCCATATACATGTTCAAGTCTACAATATATAAACATTACAGCGTGCATGTACGTTACATACACCGCGTGTAGGGTTTATTTTCTCAATAAGCTCCATATACATGTTCAAATAATCAATCCATAAACATTACAGCGTGCATGTACATTACATACACCGCGTGTAGGGTTTACTATCTCAATACGCTCCATATACATGTTCAAGTCAACAATATATAAACATTACAGCGTGCATGTGCGTTACATACACCGCGTGTTAGTCAGTGGCTTTGAAAGCGACAGTATAAACGTTTAGTTGGAGAGAATGAGCATTTTAGAGCTACCGAATGTAAAGACCATTTCTCGAGTGACTTATTACAGTCACATGACATCTCTGGCGTAGATACACTCGATTCAGATATTAGCATTTATCATCCAAAACTGGCTCCCATATGAGATATTGCTTGGGCAAGATCAAGCGATCACCCGTTTAATAAACCTACAGCGGTATTACACATTGTTTAATAACATCACGTGCATACGGAACTATTTTTGGCCGGCCACATGATACATCACATGACCAAACAAAATGGCTACTGTCAAAATGTACCGATTCTCACCAGGGCGTGATTACAAATACTTTTTGGTCAGATAAATTATTATGAAATCGAAAAAGTAATATGTTCTAAATATATGGATGGGAAAATATTCATTAATTAGAAATGATAAACGACATGAAAATTAAAGTACATATAGCAGACGATGAATCTATCGTCAAGTGAATGATCCTATCACAATGGCAACCGAAGCTATAAATGTAAATGATTGTGTCAAAATTGATGGTCAAAAAGGGAAGGGTGCTATCGGTTGTTCACCCCTTAGGGACATACAGCATGTTCAACGTTAAACTGGATGATGGTTCCATGAAACAGGTACCTCGCTATCGAATGCAACGAATTCCGGTGACAGTTTCGGCCATGTTACCCCCACCCACCTTTGTTGATAATGACAACAGTTTCTTCCATCTTAATGATCTGTTCAAAGATGACGTTTTTTATATTGTGTCTGTTCCTCTAAAGGGGGATGTAATACCTGCTCCGCCAACCTACTGTGGCGATTCCGAAAATGCAAATTTCATTGCAACAAATCAGAATGTGATGAACACTTCCAGGAAGACCGCGTATGACTTGAAAATCATCACTCGATTCATGCACAAGCAGAATGACTTTAGACAACTAGAAGCTATCCCGGCCCATGAACTTTGTAAACTTTTATGGAAATTCTTCATTAATGTCTAAAAGGGTGACGGGTCCGATTATGAGCCCACGAGTTTGAGGGGGATGATTGCCAGTATAGACAGGCACCTCAAAACAAAAATTTACGGGAAATCAATCATGCACGATTGATAGAGTTTACACACATCAGGGAGGTACTGAAAACCAAACAAAAAGTTCTAAAACAAGAAGGTCTCGGAAACTTACCTATGCGTGCGCAGTCCCTTAGTCATAACGACATTGACACATTATGGAAATCCGGGGAATTAGGTCTCGAAACTCCCGAGTCAATTTTGAATTCACTTTCGACTGCGTAGGGAGACGTGATGTTAATTCAAGATGGAAATGGCATGGTACCTGCAGTTTGTTGAGCGACAAACCAAAACACGCACTGGTGTAACCATCCGGGATGTTCGGATGTCACGCCGAAAACTTGGGCAACAGGTGACACTCGCTGCCTGGTCCTTGCGTATTTATAAGCGCTATGCTAACCTTAGACCAAATGGTTTATTGGCCATGACGCGCCTTTCTACTTGGCAACAAGTTCTAAAACTGCTCCTGCTCCGACACATCCTTGGTTTAAGCGACAACCTGTTGGCATCAACAAGCTTGGGTCCATAATGAAACGCATGGCAGCAAATGCAAAACTTGAATCTACCAAACGGTTGACGAATCATTCCGCCCGAAAGTAACTGGTCCAAACTCTTTCTGAGAAAAATGTTCCACCTACTCATATAATACAAATCAGAAATGTGCAGAGTGCAGAGTGTCAATAACTATTCACAAATTTCTGAAGAGCAGCACAAACACATCAGTAAATTGATTGACAGGCCTAGTGATTCTTGCACTGTGTTCCGACTTGCCAACCGTCGACCGTCTCTCCTCCATCCCAAACTTTCAATGTGACAGCTAGCCGGTCTCGCACACTCAGCTCTATCTTTACCAGTACAATCACCAAGTCTGTGATAAATGTAAATTTTCTAAACCAGAGCACTGACAAGTCATCAGACACGAATCTCCAGTGAAAGAAAGTTTGACAACAGACTGTCATCGGGGGAATGCCTCTGCCTGTGGTCATGGGACGTTGTGACCTTGGCCTTGTCAACGAACGGTTAAACAAACTTGTTTTGTTTTCGAAACATCACCGCAGTTTCACAATTTCGCAGGAAGTTCAGTACAGTTGATTTGTTGTGGAAAAAAGTGTTCGGGTGTTTTGTCTATTGGAATTGCTAAAATTTTAATATTATAGTTACACTTGACGATGACCATTTACATGACTTTTCATACGCATGACCTGCTTTACACAGACCATTGTGACGTCACTGTTACCATGACGATTTGTTTTTTCCAATAATTTATCATCATGTGGGTTTTTTTCAAATTCATGGTGATGACTAGAATAAAAGGTGACAAATAAGGCATCCAGCGTCCATTTGTTTTCAGACCGCCGTCGCAGGTGTGATGGCGACAAACAATATTAACGTGTAGATCTAAATGTGTTTGTTTATTTGTTTGTTGTTTAACCCCGCACGCAGCAATATTCCAGCTATATGACGGCGTTCTGTTAAATAAATATCATTTTGTATTAGACAGCTGGACTATTTTTCTCTCACTGAGTTCATTCACAAATCCAGGGAATTAATTGACAATTTTCACGTGCTACAAGACCCGTGAAGGTCCGGGCTAGTATAGGTCTTTAGCAACTCATGCTTGCCGTAAAAGGCGACTATGCTTGTCGTAATAGGCGACTAACGGGATCGGGTGTTCAGGCTCGCTGACTTGATTGATGCTTGTCATCGATCCCAATTGCATGGACCGATGGTCCTGATGTCAATCAATGGATTGTCTGGTCCTGATTCGATTATTTACAGACCGCCGTCAGATAGCCGGAATATTGCTGAGTGCGGCGTTAAACAACAAACAAACAAACGCACGTGTTCAGTAGTTGGCCCTAATTTTCACAGACAAAGTTATGTCTGTCCTTAAAGGGCCAATCATTCCACTTGTCTGGTCCAGACTCGAATATTGTTTTTGATTTGAAGTTTACACGATATACTGTTTTTCCATTGGACGAGAGATCAGTCACATGACCACGAAATTGACGGTCATAAGTGTATGAACGACATAATTTGATACGTTTTCACGATACAGTGTTCTTGAAATGACGTAAACACTGACGGACTCGCTGTGCAGAGTTGCGTCCCTTGAACATGCAGGAAACCTATGATTGTGGGTTCGAATTCCGCTTCGCCCCGATTATGTTTCTAGGTTTGTCTGCACCATACCCGTGCTCGTGGGTTTCACCGAAGTAGTAAACGTCTGAGACCTGCATCACTTCGGGCTTTCCTTCCACATTAAGCTGATACGACGTGATATAACTGGAATACTGTTAAAAGCGGCGTTAAAACCAACTCACTCACTCACTCACTCAATTTAAACACAACATCTCTCGGGGCCCATATTTGGAGGCGTTTTCATTTTCACCATATCTTCTTACGACGAGGATTACTCAACTATCGACAGTCATCTACCGGTCCCAAAGAGGACTCATTGATTCGGACTCTGAGTAGTCAATGGGAGTTATTGTTCGGAATAAACTGCAACACCGGTTCTGTTGTCGTTTCTAGTTTCAGCTCAGCTGTCTCATACCGGAGTCACGTCAGGTCATTAATTCCGACACTGTGACAGCAATATTACTTTTTAAAGTTTACCTTCGTAGCTTTTTTCTGACAAACATGACTTCTGTACATTCCTTCTGTGTTGTTGATACAGGTTTTGTCATTTCGTCGTATGACACATGAAATAATTTGACAGGTTTTCCGTGTTTCCTCTTCTCTATGTGAAATACATGTCAATGCGCGACGGCTGGTGCCTCTCAATGACTATATTTTGCTCAAACCAAGCCTTTTTTTAACCATGTCTACTTTTATCAATGCTACGTAGTGTACGCTGTGTAAATCAAACATAAATAAACAGCAACAATGTGATCTTGAAAGGTTTTTCATAGAACTACCTTTTTCACGCGTAACAACATATTAACGGAGTAACTGGAGTAACTGAACTGGGTTTTTTCACACCAGCATTGATACGAACCAGCTGATTCTTGAACGGCGACAGTATTGTTACTTTTTAGTGTGTATATGGGTAATAAATAAATAGAATAGATAAATAGAAAGGCGTTGCTCTTTATGTTTGAATTCCACACTTTTAAACAGCAAATGTATCTAACTTCCGTTCATACCCATATGAATTTCGTATAATCGACGATTAAGCTTTATCCATGTATCTCAGTAAAACGACTAGGTGCCACAGTACGCGAAACGTGATGTTCTTATGCAACGTAAAGTTCGTTGGTAAATTATGAATTTTGACAGCAACGCAAGTATTTAATAGGTATATAACTGAGAAAGGTGAAAACAAAATGGTCGCGAAATTGCAAAACAAACAGGCACTGACAAATTATGTCATCAACTACGTATACAGCAACATTCAAAATAAAACCCTGTGGGAACGGGGTAGAATGTGGGCAAACTGTTTGCCGTGGATTGCATCCCTGTGTCGGGAGTATTCCAGGAATAGTTGTCCTGTGCCCAATACCCCACTTCGTCCCTTACTTCTCCTACAAAATGGTAAGATGGACCCGGTCCTATAAATCGGCTAATCATGCCTGGCCCTGTGCATCGAAACTGAGTTGCACAAGTTTGTCAAAATGGTGAAATGATTTGTTGAACTGTTGTATGAATAGTTTATGTTTAGACAAATGATATATTAGTAGCATTTCAAATGTAAATTTAATAAGTTTGTAGTTTGTCTGAAGTTGTACGTCCAGGAGACTGTTACTAATGGGTCAATCTGGTTGACAAATTAATTCTGTTTGCGTATATCATCTGAGCATCCTTGTTACCGCATGTCATGAAAAGGGTGTACTTAAACGTAATCATTTCATTTGAAGTAAATATTTACATGTTAGCAAATTAAATTTCACTGAGATTTTAGCCTCAAAGGGGGTTGAAGTAGCATAAAATACTTGTTACCCTAAGAAGGTATGTCAGGGCACATCATTCACAGTAGGCCGCCTCCGTGGTCTAGTGGTAGAGCGTCCGCCCGGAGAGCGGAAGTTCCGGGGTTCGATCCCCAAACGCGTCATACCAAAAGACGTTAAAAGATGGTACTTGTTGTTACCCTGTCTGGCGCTCGGCATTAAGGGGCTAAAACAAGGACCGGTCGGCTCGGAGTCAGTATACTGTGTCTGAGTGGGGTATTCATGTTAAACTGCGGCATGGTATCTCAGTGTGCTAGCACTATAAATCGGCATCAGTCTGGACTAGTACAAGCAGCAACACACACACATATACACGAGCATGCACGTCGCTATATAAGTGCAATAATCTTGGACGCGACGTTAAACCCCATTTCACCTCACCTCACCATTCACAGTAAGGTTATTCCGAGTAATATTTTAATCGTAGAATAATTATTTGTTTTAATTATTTTACTACATTTTTTGACAATCGCCAACAACTAGAGGGGTGGTGTAAATCCTGATTGGGTACCATGAAGGTAGCTGAGGTACCGTGAGTCCCTATGGTCCCCTGGTAGGGTAGCCTTTCTAAGTGATCTATAGCCCCTGTGTTGTTATATGGCAGTTTAGCTTATTGTTTAAAATTGATTATAGCTGAGATCTTTTTCTGTTGGGATTCGGTAGACGCTGATTGCATTGTGTTTGGACAGTGATCAGTCGTCAGGAACTTTAGATGCTAGTGTGGTGTGTAAATTTCTGGTCCGGTACACCGCGGACAATGGTAGTATGATATGGAAACTTCTTTAATGTTCTAGTGCCGATGGATTGGAGAGGGCAGTGTGTTGAACTTTTCATTTGCTGGGTAGGTTTTATGTAAGGGAACAATAGCGTGTTTGCGTATCTCTCATGAATTTGTATCCCATCGGAACCAGCTTTCATGTGAGGATCGCTCACCATGACTGATTCCATGCCTAGCCCATCATGGAAGCTTGGCCACTGTCGCCACTTGGTGAATATATATTATCATCACTGACTTTTGCTATCACCACTGTATATTTATATTTGATACTGACCGCGTGCACTGCCATCATATTATTTACTGTCGGTGGATATTGTACTACCGCTCTATTGTGTACTGCCATTGTAATTTATGTGCTGTAATTTCTGTTCATTTTTAAACGGCGGTCTACATGTAAATAATCGAGTTTGGACCAGACAATCCAGTGATTGACACCATGAGCATCAATATACGCAATTGGGATACGATGATATGCATCAACCAAGTCAGTAAGCCTGACCACCCGATCCGGTTAGTCGCCTATTACAAGCATAGTTGCCTCTTATATCAAGCGGGGTTGGTGAAGACCTATTTTGTACCAGGATCTTCACGGGTCCTAAGTTACATGTCCCGCCTCAGTGTTAAGGCACAACAGCTAAATGTATTTTTCCATAGTAAACGTTTTTCAAATGAATTGTAAGACAAAATCAGTTTGGTCTCGGAACAAGGTTCGATAACTTAGGACAAATATCTCAGATGAGAGAAAACTCAAATTGTTTTTTTTTGTGCGTAATATTTAGAAAAATGGACACTGAAAACAAATTAAGTAGTTCTGGGTATTTAGGCATGAGGTAATCAAACACAACAATTTCGTCGCAAGAGTTCGAATCTCATTGGAGATGGACTTAAACACAAAAACAAATATTTTCTGATTAAGAGTTAAAGTTGATTATGTGTATGTTTAAAGTGTTTCAGTATAACGTTTTTGAGTGGCATTTAGAATTTAGTATGATGATCAAGAGAGATGCATCTGTGGAAACTAGTATATAACTTGTGGATAATTGATGTTTATACTTTAATTGTTTGATTAGGCATTACTTAGAAGTTGACGGATGACAAAGTAGACAAATTTTTGGATAACAACTTCTTTGATACTGTAAAGGTGACGTTTCGGTATAGATCCTTATACCGTTGTCAAGCAAGACTGAATGAGGCTATTTTATCCCATCCGCCTACTATGAACTCATTAAGCAATAATCACTACACCTATATAAACTTATCCTGTTTAATTGGCTTCATGTCCCATTGGCTTCCACCTGTGTGTTCTCTGTCCATCATGTAGTGACAGTATTTTTCTTCTGTTGTCAAAACTTACTTATGTTATCCCACTCATGTGAGCATTGTTGTTACTGTTAATCCTCTACTGTTATATATATTCTGTACAATGTACAACGGTATGAGGATCTATAGCGAAACGTCGCCTTTACAGTATTAAAGAAGTTGTTATCCATGAATTTTGTCTACTTTGGTGTTTATACATTATGTTTATACTAACACATTTTCTTTTGTGTAATGATCAACCTATGATCATTCAACCTTGTATAAACATCCATTATCCACATGTATTTCACCTTCCTACTTCACATTCTGTACATCACTTGCTTAATAACGGTGTCAATACATACGCCGAAACTATTCCTCTTTTTAGTATGTGTTGCACATGACAACACAATAATAAAACCAACAAACAATGGATACTGATTTGGACCTGTATCATTTATTACGCACGTGTACAGTAGCTGTCCCTAATTTTCACAGACAAAGTTATGACTGTCCTTACATGGCCAATCATTCCATTTGTAGGCCATAGTTTTGTCTATGCCCATACAGTTCTCTTGGCCGCCCCAGTTGGATGGCTGCCCAGGGTACCAGTTCTGGTAGACCATAGGGGTCACTTGGCCCTCCCAAGTAAACCGTCCTTCCAGTCGCAGATCGGTACCCCCCAGAAGGTAGTAAGGTGCTGCAATTAAATGGTATGTTTCAGACTAACTATAAATTAACAAGATAAGCGAGTCCTGCTTTACACAACGCTACTTTTGACTTCCTACACTCGACGCATATTGGTGAAGACCTTTTCTACCCCGGATATTCACGAGTATATTGGTGAAGACCTATTCTCTCCCGGAAATTCACGGGTATATTGGTGAAGACGTTTTCTACCCCGGATATTCACAGGTATATTTGTGAAGACCTTTTCTACACCGGATATTCACGGGTATATTGATGAAGACGTTTTCTACCCCGGATATTAACAGGTATATTTGTGAAGATCTTTTCTACACCAGATATTCACGGGTATATTTGTGAGGACCTTTTCTACCCCGGATATTCATGGGTGTATGTGTGAGTGACTATTTCAGTTTTATCTCATGTCAGCTTAATACAGGAGGAAAACCACCCGATCCCGTAAGTCACCTCTTAATATAAGGCAAGCATGGGTTGCTAAAGACCTATTCTCCTCCGGATCACGGCGGGGGACATCAGAAATGGGCTTCACAAATTGTACCCATATCAGGTATCGAACCCGGGTCTTCGGCGTGACGAGCGAACGCTTTAACCACTAGGCTACCCGACATCCCCATCGATATCATGGGCATCTATCTACGCAATTGGGATATGATGACGTGCATCAACCAAGTCAGCGACCCTGACCACCCGATCCCGTAAGTCACCTCGTACGGCAAGCATGGGTTGCTAAAGACCTATTCCACCCCGGATCTTCACGGGGCGGCACGCATAAGAACGAGACCCTCAAGGGATAGTAGCTGTGAACAATTCCTACTTACACTTCCCATGACGCTTGATGTGACCTGTGACGAATTCATCCTCATCTCGGTTATTTATCTCAGCCAGGCGACTCTTTAAGTAGCGGCAAACAGCCTGTAGGAAACTATAGCATGAGTTTGTTTGTTTGTTTGTTGTTTAACGCCGCTGTCAGCAATATTCTAGCTGCATGGAGGCGGTATGTAAATAATCGAGTCTGGACCAGACAATCCAGTGATTGACATCATGAGCAGCGATCCACGCAACTGGGAAACGATGACATGCATCAACCAAGTCAGCGAGCCTGACCACCCTATCCAGTTGTAGCATAGTTGCCTTTTACGGCTAGCATGTTTTGCTGAAGACCTATTCTCTACGCGGATCTTCACGGTCCGAGTTTCATGTACATTATAACATCATCAATGTTGAAATTGACAACGAAGCCAAAAGACGGTTTTGAGTAGTTAAAGTAGTTTAAAGTGTTATCCATAGAGATGAAGAGAAAACAGAAAATTTTAAGAGTAAAATAAAGAACTGAAAGAAAAGGGCTAAATTTAGTACTGAAACTGGATAATACAGAGGCACAGAGTAGAAGAAACAATTTGTGAGCTAAAAGCAAGGTCCTTCATACAAGATAAACTACATGTATGAACTGAAACTGATATCATTCACATAGAAAGAGCACATGGATTGAAAAGTGGTGCAATAATTCTGACGTTTTCATCATTTACAGCCAGATTTAGTGTGTAATAACACATCTCAAACTTAATAAAGTTTTCAGAGAGACAAACGACTATACAGAGGTTGTTAGAAACATTCGTAAATCTCTCATCCTTTTTATGATCAAAGCTCATGAAACACAAAAGAAAGCCTATTTATCACACGACAAGCTAGTAACTGGTGATAAAGTGTATGTTAAAGCTAAAGATGACAACAGTTTAGGTCAAGTCAGAACAAGACGAAGTAGATCACTACGTCTAGGGATTCACAGGTGTCCAAACGTATTTTCATCAATAGTTGAGTCGAGACTGCGACATTGGTTCGAGTTAAATAAATTGTTAGCCCAATCTAAAGCTGGGCTTAGAAAGGAATATTCTACGATATATAATATCTTTGTCTTGCAATGACTTGCTCAGAAATATTTACGAAAGCCTAACGTCGTTTTTGTGCATCTTACATTGATTTCCGTAAGGTTGATAGGAATCGTTGTTTCATATGTTATTACATAAGGGTATTCATGGTTAAATGTATAATGTTTTGGAAATGTACAGAAATGTTTGTGCTTGTGTACGCTCTGGAAAGTCAAGAAAGATGTCGTTTCAACGTCATACGGTGTTAGACAAGGCTGTATGCTTCGTCCTGTACTTTTCATATTTTTAATCAACCAGTAGGCTACTGATATGATGGAAAGTGAAGCAAATGGTATCTTTGAAATTGATATGACTGAGGGTTCGTATGTCAAAAGTGTAGAAAAATGGTTTTATGGCCATGACAAAAATGAATATAGTATCTTATTATAAATATATTGGTCTATAATTTTCTTCACGTTTAGTATGGTCAAAAGTTGTGTGACGTTAGCTGTATAGGCCAAGAAAGCATGTGTTCCCATATATAATCATATCAGGAAATCTCCGAATCCTTCATTAATTGTTTCTATTTTTGAGACAAAGATAGGCCCTATTGCATGCTATGGCAGTGAGATCTGGCGATACACTGTTAGGGAAAGTGTTGAAAAAGAGCAAAGAGATTTTTTCAAAAGATTCATTTTACTTTGTAAACGCACATCAACCATGCTGGGCTTGGGGAAGTGGGGCGATATTCATATTGTGTGCTAAGTATTTCTGACGCTGCATGACGTGTTGCTGTAGGCTGGTGCGTATAAACCCAACATGCTATCCTCGGCTTTCTATGACATGCTAAAAGTACATGTTGGTTGGTTTGTTGTTTTATGCAATATTCCAGCTGTATGACGGCGGGCTGTAAATAATCGAAGACCTATTCTACCCCGGATCTTCACGGGTCAAAGGTACATGTGGATAATGCAGGAGTAAACTGGGCGTCACATGTTAAAATGTTACTATTCCAAACAGGATTCTCACGCGTCTGGATATCCCATGAATTAGATGATGAATCTGATTTTTGAGTATATTCCGTAGCACACGCATTGATATTCAAATGTAAACTTGGTTTCTAAAGAAAAATACTTCTGTAGTTCTTGTATATTATGAAACGTATAAAACTTTACTCGAACATGAATAATATACAATTTCAAATTTTGATAAGGATCTTATGAGAAAACTTGGTTTGAAAATACAAATGCAACGCTACAGTGAAAACAGTGTATGATTCAAGATGCCTCATTTGTGAAAAAATGTAACTTGGAGATCGAAGATGAACACCATGTTTATCTAGTGTGTCCCTACTACAGGTCAAGGAGAAATATGTTGTTACCGATATACTATCATCGTTATCCATCAAGACAAAGTGTATAAATTTGATGTCAACAAGAAATAGAAAAACTTAGAAAGATTTAGCCATTCTCGTTAAAAGAAATTTAATTATGGAAATTCCACAACTGATGTACATTCATGATGTAGATATAGTATCGTAGTATCGTAGGGCAGAATCATATGGATGTGCAGCTTGATGTCCATTTATGATACACTCCTGGCGATATCCATCAGTGTCATTAAGAGAGTTTTAAAAGGCGAGTTCCACATGATGGCCCCTAAATCGAATTAATTTGAGAAGGTGATGGTTGTCGGGAAAAAAGTAGTTTCAAGGCGTTGTTTCAATATGAGGAACGTCATATTTTTCTCCGAGCTGCTTCACTGTTCTATTTGCGTTTGCTTGGAGTATTCTCAGGATTATCCTCATCTGTAACGCTTTATGTTTGAGTCAGAGTTTACTTTCTATTGTAGTCGAAAGAGCAAAACAAAAACGTCATTCCCTGATTCATGGAACGTTATTAACTAACCGTGGTGACCGCAGATATAGCTTCATATCTATCTTTCAGAGGTCCAGACTGTCTGATTGGTTGAAAAAAATCGTTATAAATATATCTGAAAGCAAAAATCATCTCCAGTTTACTGAGAAAATAATATGTGAAATGCTGGACTTCCTCATTGATAACATTCCATGTACATTTTTGGGTAAAACATGCGGGCAAGAAGTAGGCACCCCGTGTACACAAACTGTGCTCCCCTTCTTGGTGATCAGTTTCTTTATGAATATGAATCGGAATTTCTGCTCGGATTGTCAAAATCAAAACAAGGGAACATGGCAAAGACGTTAACTCATGCTTCAAGTATATCGATGATCTGATATGGTCCAAAAACCGATTTACCAACGTGAACTATAAAAAGAAGATACCAGTGAGATGGCCTCATCTGTTTCGTATTTAGATCTATGCATACAGAGTGATAATAAAACTCACCGAAAGAGGGATGAACTCAACTTTCCTAATGTAAACTTTCCCTTTATGACGAGCAATATTCCAGCAGCTCCAGCCTTTTGAGGTACAATCGAGCATGCACTTCTCACGAAGAATTTAAAGAGCATCATACGACTTTTGCTCAAAAATTGTTTAATCAAGGTTACAACATTCATGTCCTCAGTAACGTTACAAAAGGCTCTGTAGTAGATATGTTTAGAATTATATATATTATAACTTACAGTAGCCTCTGCAAAGGATCCTTTCTCATTTGAGAACCAGTAGCAGGAATGCTTGTGTGGCACAAAGCCTAGTTGGCACCGGGCTCCTGGGGTGTGGAAGATAAACGTTAACATCCGCTCAATAACAGAATCAGACTAATAATGCGTAAATCATTGCCATACTAGGTACTTAATTTATTGCAAAGTAGAAGCTTTTATAAACTCTTCAATAAACAATATCTTAAGTTTCCAAATTTGTTCCAATTTAAAAAATGTATTACCACTGACAGTGTAAGAGATCTACAAGAGATCTACAAGATCTCTCTAAATCCCTTAACCATGTCTATAATACATTTACATGTACGTCATTAATCAATATCTACGTATCCAATTTTCATTACTCTTTTTTAATGCTGCCGTTGTGTACACATTGAAAATGGTATATTATTAAATAGCATGTATGTATGGAATACTGTAAGGGACATTCTCGCGATCTCGCATTCTCGCGATCTCGACCTTTGGAAACGAGGTAAATATACCCAAAACACGAGAATGCGAGATCGCGAGAACGCGAGATTTGGCCAAAATCTCGCGTTCTCGCGATCTCGCGATCTCGCATTCTCGTGTTTTGGGCATATTTACCTCGTCTCCAAAGGTCGAGATCGCGAGAATGCGAGATCGCGAGAATGTCCCTTACAGTATTCCATATGTATGGGTGCTCTTTCCGAGAAATAAATAGTTGATAATAGGATCGAATCGCTATCACAACCATACCCGTGCTTGTGTACGTGGGTTTTATCATCGGGGTTAAATTGTCTCAGTGAAGACATTCTACCCACATATTTAACACGCCATGATGTATCAAATATAGCGGCATTTATGCGGTACAGGCACTCATGGTCACTTTGTATGATTGGGTACTCTAGTAGTGATGTAACGTTAGCTTGTTACCCTGGTTCGATTCCCTACAATATGGACCCTTGAAGATCAGGGGTAGAATAGGTCTTCAGCAACCCATGCCTGCCCTAAAAGGCGACTACGCTTGTTTTAAGAAGCGACGAACGGGTTCGGGTGGTCAGGCTCACTGACATGGTGGATGCATGTCATCGTATCTCATTTGCGTAGATGGATGATGTCAATCACTGGATTGTCTGGTCCAGACTCGATTATATACAGACCGCCGTCAAATAGCTGGAATATTGCTGAGTGTGGCGTTAAACAACAAACAAACAAAACTAAACCTACAATATGTCAAAGCCATTTCAGGTGAAACCCTCTGTGATATGGCTTGACTATATCAACAAGCAATGTTAGCTCTACTCACTCGTTCACACGCTCGCTCACTCTCTCACTCACTAACTCACTCACTCACTCTTCTGAATCCCAGGTGTGTGATTTCTTTTGGAACAGTACGACTACGTTGTGTACGTGTAAGTCTAAATGTGAGATCATGCACCAGCTTGCTATGTCAACAATGACACGTTTCGTTTGTGACTGATAATCTAACGATGATCCTAACATTCCTTAATGATTAAATAGTGCATTTTTAAAATAAAGAAATGTGTTTACCTTCGTTTGGAAATACACACACTATAACCATCAGCAGCAGAGCGTTCCACAGTCCCATGTTGTATCCGATATCCCACTTTGTGAACTGTAATGAAGCATCTGTTTTGAGCGTGCATACGGATTTGACACCTTCACTCTCATCTCTACTCGTCAGATCCGGAACATGTGTGACACCATTGAGACCCACGTTCAAACCCTCGTATAACCACGCTCATGTCATATTAACATTGTTCCACGACAGCTGTTCGATTGAGCTGACTTTCACTGAGCCTGAAAAAGTATGCGGCTTTTTGCTTCGAGTGATGAGTGATTTTCTCCTGTTCAGAAATCTGAGTGAAGCCTGATTTCTCCGTGGAGGGGTATAATGAACTTATTCTCCGGCACATAAATGTATTTTCCTCCAAGGCGGGATACATGGTATTTTATCAAGATCACGAGAACCAATTCTGACATGGAGGTATGATAAAACATTTTGCACTACGTTTATACGTCATGCAAACCAAATATAACAAATATGTTTGTGTTGTCTGATATATCGAGATTACGACACGAGGGTCTGTCAGATACCATTTATGTTTAAACGAGCTGTTTCAAAACCTATCCAACAGAAAGATGGCACATTAAACAACATTAAATAAGTTTAATGCATCTTTGAAGGGAATTTCAGCCATATATGATGGCGTGTCAGTATGTCGTCTAGCGATGACTAGTAAGCATGGGTAAGGTGCTGACACACCGAGGATTGTATTCGGGGATTCGAACTTATGATCAAAGAGTCTTGACGCCACCAAAGGACGGAATCGACCCGTGAAGATCGGGGTGGTATAGGTCTTCAGCAACCCATGCTTGCCGTAAAAGGAGACTAAACATGTACTTGTCGTAAATGGAGACTAACGGGATCGGGTGGTCAGGCAGACTGACATGGTTGATGCATGTCATCGTATCCCAATTGCTTGGATCGATGCTTATGATGTCAGTCACAGGATTGTCTTGTCCAGACTCGATTATTTAAAGACCACCGTCAAGAGCTGTAATATTGCTGAGTGCGGGGTTAAAAAACAAACAAACACCGTATCCCAAATGCGTGGATCGATGCTCATGTCAATTATTGGATTGTCTGGTCAAGACTTTTTACATACCGCGTCTTATGGCTTGGTTTTTGTTGAGTGTGGCGTTAAACAACAAACAAACTAACATTTCAATTCCGAAAGTCACGCCATCACGCGGCGTTAAACAACAAACAAACAAACGGAATCTCTGCACAGCGCACCTTAGAACGCAGGACAGCCCGTGCACCGAGATATCTGCAGACTATCTACAGACAATATAGTTACCACACTATCTATTCGCAGCGGAAACGTATCTACAGATGAGTTGTTGTGTGTGGCATGCCTGTAGTTTAACACTGCAAACACGAAAACGTCGTTTTTTTCCGTATATGGTCATTGGACGGAAAAACGACGTTATTTGGACGTTTTCAAACCATCGTTTTTCCGTCCAAATAACGTCGTTATTTGACATCGGAATTTACTGGGAGAGAACGATAGCGTTAAGCTCCTCCCTTTCTTGATTGACATTGTCAATCAAGCAACAGCGTCTACCGGTATTTCTACTTCTCAGATTTCATTGGTCAGTCCCCGCGTGTTAGATTACAGGCCCGCGTTTGACGCTGCACTCGAAGCGCTTAGCGGAAGTACTGAAATCAATCGTTCTGCGCATGCGGATTACTTAATGCCTTGACCAAATTTTCCGTTCTGTGCATGCGCGATTTCGCGTATTGTTTCCTAGATTTAATGTCACCACTATTTGACAATGGTTCATAAACACAGTCAAGTGAAGGTTCGGAATCGTAACGAGTAACTCCATTTAAATTGAAGAGGATCCCCAGTGATATGGGAGATTCCAAGATGAAACTATTCTATGGCTATCTAGGCTGCCACCCAAACCGATCTAAACGGGACCCGATAGCTTATTGTATGCTATATAGTCATATGGAAGTGGACAAGAACTATACATTGTATTCCGGCCGATTGTTCTTGCATTTACTTATAAGTCAGGAAAATGGACTTAAAAGGGGAGTTGTTAAATGTAATTATTTTAATTATTAAATGTTGCCTATACACTAGTCTGGACGAACTTCTCATTGTTCTGTTTATGTCATCCTATATACTATTAGTATGTTACCGTTCTAAAGTCAACCTCTCACATAACATTATACTGTTCATAGTATCAAAGTTTAATCAACAATATCAAGAGCAGCGATTTAAACCACTGAAACACCCAAACACAAGGCTGTTATCAAGCGCTAGTGCAGACGTGGTGCATCGTAAAAACTGTATCGTGATGTCTTCAGAAATACAATTATACTACGAGACAGTACGGCTAACGCTGACTCACCGGTGGAACAAAGACAATATCGCTAATACAGATATAACGTATTTGAATGTTAATACTAAAGACAAACAATCATTATTTTGCAGTGACGATATAACACGTATACACGTTTATTGTTAACTTTCATCAGTTTTGCTCTTCATTTTAATAACTTTGTTTTCACATATATATGTAGCAATACCCGACAAGCATGTCAAACATAATTATGGGGCAGTTTTCAATCTTGTACTGAATTACTCTGGTGTTAATGAGCGAAGTTTATTGGCTTGTGTGTAAAACCCCGTTTTTCTGGTAATCTTATTACTTAGTTTATTTCTATCTAATGACCCCCTGTACTCTGGATCATGGCTCCGTGACTATCCATAACAATTAAGATGAACATTCAGTTCAAGTAAATGAATGAGTTTGTTTTGACGCTACAGTCAGTCAAAAAACCAATGCTGTGAGGTTTGATAACACACTTCTACCAGGTCGAACATCGTGGATCCTCATTTTCTGCCTAAAGAGAATCATAGTTCATATGCTAATCCATCTGCGAATACCCTCCCACTCAAGATGACTTTACTTGTTGATAAATCTATCATCTATCCCCCAAATCTCTTGGCTATTTAAGGTCCTATCTCTTTTTTGATTACCCAATAGAGTCAATTCATAGTTACACGGTTGTGAAGAAGCTTACAACTTTATAAGATTTATTCATCTCATTCCAAAAAAGCTACTCGCGCTCACATAAAGTTGTAGTTATTATGTCACTGTTTTATTTCTTTAAAAATATATTACATGTTCAACAATAACAATTAAGATGAACATTCAATTTCCGATACAAGTAAATGAATAAGTGTGTTTTACGCCACAATCAGTCAAAGACCAACGTTGTCCGTTCTGATGACACACACACACACACACACACACACACACACACACACACACACACACACACACGCACGCATTAATTGTTTTATTAAATGTATCTTCGAGAGTCAGTAAGAAACTAGAAATAACTGCCTTTTTTCTGTAAACCTCACCAAGTTTCAGCTTTCGCCTCTTCCTTTGTGGACTGAGGTTTCACATGATCTCTCTTATCTGTCTGTACCATCAACTTAACTGCCCTCACCCCCTGCAGTTTTCCCGTCCCATATTGCCAAGCAGGTGACCCACAAGGAGGAATACCGCCCTCCCTCAGTCCAGTGATACTGTGCCTAGCACAATATGTTGGGGATACGTAGCCTTGCTGTGGGCAAACATTTTGTAACAGTTTGGTAAACTTTGATCTGTAAACAGCAAATATTATTCAGTTTTATTTCAACAAAAACGGAAAAAATCGGATCCTACTTATTTTGTGGATACCATAACAATAAATCAAGTCAATAGATCGTTTGAGCTGGCATGAATATAAAAAATAATTAGCAAGTCGATAGTCATTATTCCCTCTGTTGGTCCCACGTGAAATGTTCTTCATGAATAGAATAGATGGCTGATAGACGTTCGACCGAATAATATCATTTGCTAACTTCAACTATTCATCTAATTTCCATGAATGTATGTTACATAGTTAATATGTTCATGGGCTTCTTCACTGAATGTATAGTGTGGAGGACTACTTCACTTGAGGATAAGTAACATGAATACTGATGATAATTATGATAGTATTGCCATTATTATTCCTTCAGATTATTAAAAAAAAGTTATTATGTTTTAATAGTGAGAAAGAGGTATGGATATTGTAAGATTATTTTTAGCATCGGAATTGTTAACATAATTCTTAAAGATATTATGTTTTGTTTGTTTGTTGTTAAATGCTGCACTCAGCAACGTAAGGATATTAAAACATTACATTTAGGTTCAGTTGCATTTTTATATTTGTATCATTTGGCAAATGTTACAGAGACCTGATAAGGGATATATAATAATGTATAGTCGCTATTCTTAAAGTAAGAATATGTTAGATTTATCAACAAGAAATATTGCACACAAGAGGATAATCATATTTCATGACACTATTCAACGTCGAAGTCAACGATATTTGTGTATGTTATTGCTACATGACACGGATACGTCATGATAAAGCAATTAGAAATTGACATTTGATGATATAAGATAGCTACGCGATAAATCACAAAGAACAAAGAAGGAAGCGATATTTATTTCACGATAAAACATTGTTCTATCATGACGTCATTTATTGAGATTCGAACATGCACTCGCAACTTGAAAAGTAAAATTTGTAAATTTGACCTTATTTTTGAGAGGTATGTGTCTAGTGAGTTGTTCCCAATAAATGTTGCTGGAGAATCCGAAAGTGAGAGTGATATGACTATCGGTATTGGGAGAAAAGGTACAGATGATTGACGAGAAAATTGTGAGAATATGCGGGACCAAACTCAAATCCTAAAATGGATTTATCTAGCATGGCCGCTGTCGGATTCTATTCAAGGAATCATCATTATTTAAGTACGGGTAAATATTGTAAAGCGTGTATTTTTTCCTATTTTAACACCCTAAAAGAGGCTGTACGTAATGTTGATATCTCATATAGAAATAAACGAGTCTCGGTCGTTGTTTATCGTACAATAAACAACTCCCACTCGTCGTTTGTTTCTTAATTACATGACCATATACACTAACATTATATCTTTTCATGTTTATCGGTCAACAAAAGCGACATAAGCATTTCCATTATCATGAGAAACCCTTGCCAAAAGTAGCGCCAACTGCACCATTGCGACAACATCAGGAGCA